AAAAAAAACATTAAAAATAAAATAAAGTTCAAAGGTCTAACCAGCAAGTGATAGACAGTGGTCAGTATGGACCAAGTAAAGAATGTATTATGTGCCATGATGAAGAGATTTTTCTTAAGTGGGTCAAAAAACTAAGAAGGGTAGTGCAGTGATCAGATTCACATATTAGATCATTTTGACTGCATTATGAAGAAAGATTGAGAGGCCAGGATTAGTATCTGAGTGATTAGGAAAGAGGTTATTATAAAAGTGTAAGCAAGAGATTATGAGGTCCTCAATTAGGGTAGAAGTAGCAAAGTTAGAGAAGGGGGCATTAATTAAAAAATGTTTTAAGAGAGCAGACTGACAAGATTTAGTTGAATGGATATGAGGGGATGGCCAAGATGAGTTTGATTTCTTGGTTAGATATTAGATAAATATATACCAAGAGAGAGAATATAGGAAGAGGAGCCATTTTAGAGGGGAAACTAATAGGCACTGAGATCGGAGTGCCTATTAAATATCCAAGTGAAAGATGTCCCACTAGCTGGACATGATTGCAAAGCTCAACAAAGAGATCAGAACTGGAAATGGTAAGTTATTGGCATGTAGTAACACCTAGAGGTATAAATTAAAACCATGAAGTCTTCTGGACTAGCTTAAATGTTCCTTCTTTCTGCCCATTAAAAACATAGAGAAAGAAAAAAAGATTGGCTCATAAATGAACTTCTGGGGAACACTAATCAAGATGAGGGCAACAGGAACAGTCTTAGAGGTCAGAGAATCAAGAGAGAATAGTCATTGTTTTTTTTTTTTTAATAAGATAAAAACAGGGAGACAAACCATAAGAAACTCTTAAATACAGAAAACAAAGTAGGGGTTGCTGAAGGCGAAGTCGGTGGGGGGATGGGGTGGTTGGGTGATGGGCATTAGGAGGGTACATTTTGGGATGAGCACTGGGTGTCCTATTTAAGGGATGATTCACTGGATTCTACTCCTGAGGCCAAGAATACACTGTATGTTAACTAACTTGAATTTAAAAAAAAATAAAGTCAGCCTTAACAGCCTTAAAAAAAAATTTAAAATGAGGGAAAAAAAAGAGAGGATAGTATCATGAAATCCAAGCAATTTAAATGTATCAAGAAGGAAGAAATGTGACTAAAAATGTAAAATGCTAAAGAAAGTTCCAGAAAGATAAAGATAGAAAAGTGGCTCTTAGACTTGACTATATGGGGAACATTTGTGACTTTTGGTGGATTGATTTCAGCATAATTGTAGAAATGCTACATTATAGCAGATTGAGCTGTGTATAAAAAATAAGGAAATAAACTGTGAAGACTTAACAATCTTGGCTGAGTTGAAAGAGGTAAGGCAAGCACAATGATAGAGTCAGGAGAAGTTTTTGTTTATTTTGTTCTGGAAGAGAGAGACGTGAGTATGTTTCTGTCAGATGCCAGTAAAGAGGGGTAAGGTAAAGGTACAGGACAGAGGAATGGTCGCTGATGGAGCAAGAGTTTAAAGGAAATAGGAAGGGGTTGGTACCAAAAGCAAAGGTAGGTTTTAAGTATAAGAAAGAGAAATTCCTTTATGTTCCAAGACCAGAAATGAGGATAAGTTTGCAGGAGTGGGGAGGGGTGGGAGAAGGAGAAGGGGTTTAAGATAGATACTATCTAGTAGCCTGTTTTTCCCTTTAACTAGTAAAGGAAGGAGGTCTGCAAAAGAGGGAAGTGGAGACTGGGTAGGTAGCTTAAGGAAGTTCTCAGGAAGCTCTGAGAACAGTGTTGTTTCTATTTACACAGGGTGTCATAAGGATGGCAGTACATTAAAAGTGTTTTTGACTAATTATGCAAATACATTAAATGTTAAATGGACTTTTAGCCAAACCACTCATGACATCACTCACCTCAGTGCTCTAAGTTACAGGTCAAATTCCAACAAAGAAGCTCTCATTACAACTAATTATTCATTTGTCCTCAAAGATTATAAGAACTAATGCCTTTATATCTTGTATCTCTGTTTACCTAGAAAAATCATCTCTGAAAATCCATCATCAAAGCTGAACTATTATTATCATTGAGAGGTTTTTTCTTACACCAGTTCTCCAACACTAACTGTGGGTCCAGTAATTCCATTCTGACACTATCCAGAGTCAGCCCAGACCCCACTGCTTAAAGGCATAGTTTCAGAAGACTGTTCCCACTTAAGATGCTAGCCACAAAAGGGGATGCCCAGGCTACCCACAATTCTGTAGGGAGGACTGAAAATTCAGGGGTTCCCACAACACCCCCCTCGAGTTTGATAATTTGTTAGAATGACTCAGAGAACTCCGGAAAGTACTTACTTACTATTTCCAGCTTATTACAAAGGATACAACTGAGGAACAACCAAATGGAAGAGAGACATTGAGCAAGGTGTGGCGAAGAGAAGAACAGCACTTCCATGCCCTCTTTGGGCATGCCACCACCTTTTCCACCACCCCCACCCCCTCCCCCTTTCCCCCCAGCATTTCAATGTACTCATCAGCCTGGAATGTAACAGAGATTTTGTTATAAGGGTATGATTGATTAAATCATTGGCCATTGGTGATTGAGCTCAACCTCCAGACTGTTAATTACATGGTTGGTACCTCTGGCTACCGCTCCCATGCTGAAGCTATCTAGGTGGCCACTTGTAGTCACCTCAGTAGCATAAACTCAAGTGTGGTTGAAAGGGGCTCATTATAAAAAACAAAAGATGTTCTTATCACTCAGGAAATTAAGTTTAGGAGCTCTCTGCTAGGAACCTGGCACGTAACCCAAATAGAATTTTTATTGCACTGTTACTGTAGGTTCTGTATATCATCTAATTTAACTTTATTGCCCAGCCCTCTTTTTTTGACTCCTCAGAGCTGTCTGCCATGTCCTATAGAATTTATATTCAATCATAAGAAAAATCTTTATTTTTAACTTCTTACTCTGAAATATGACTGATGCTTACGGATACTGTTTTTGCCAGAGCCCTCTCAAAACCGTTTTGTTTTCCCATACCTCATGTATCGCAGGTCCTAAAGGTTGAGTAAGTGTTTTCTTTGTTCCTCATATCCAATTTTTTTTCATTTCCCTTCTCTCAAATATCTCAACTCATTCCAAGTGTTTGCCATTGGGTGATATCATTCGATATCCCTTCTTATTGTCAACATCTGCTGTCCCTTTAGTAACTACATTTAGTAAAGATGTTTATAGCTGGCTTACATTCTTGTTGATTTCATCATCCCCGTAGTATGATCCACAGTTATTCAACAACTTTGCCTCTCTCCTTGATCTCACTTCTAACAGTCTTTTCTGCCTTACCTTGGGCACCTATTCTCATGATCATACTTTCAACTTTGTCATTACCAGTGACTTCAAACTTTCAAAATCTTGGTTTCACACATTCCAGTCTCTGACTAGCCAGCTTATTTATTTCTTGCCAGCTTATTTCTTGCCAGCTTATTTATTTCAGTACATCTACTGCAGTTACCTTTTGTCACCTCAAGACTTTTAATCCTTTGGCCCTATAATCAGAAAACTTTATTGCTCACCAATCACTAAGTGTCCTCAACTTCACTCCTTACCCAGCTTAGATTCCAGGAACATCACTGTCATCATCCCTTTGAATACACTCATGGCTCCCTTGCCCTTCTTTCCTTCCATCATACTCATCTAGTTAAAATTAGTTCTCTACTTATGCCCTGGCTGCACCTGAGCAGTGAAGCACACATAATACCCATCTTAAATTGTGTCACTTGGGGCCCTTAGCACTCTCAGCAACCCCTTTACTTTCCCTAACCAGTTTACTTTTTGACTCCCTTCGAGGACTGTTTTATACCTTCTCTTCTCTGCATGAAAACATCCAAACCCCCCACCCTCACCTTCCAACTCTCAGCTGATGACTTCATCTCTTACTCTACTGAGAAGATAGAAGCAATCAGAAGAGAACTACCTCATTTTCTGATCTCCAGATCCACCAAGTTACTTCTAAGACCATTCCCTCCATTTCTCTACTTACTAGCTTCCATTCCTCTCCTCTACACAAGGACTCTGCTCTTGCATGTATCCCATCTCTCTCTTACATCGCCTTCTCCCGTTGTACTGCATCATTGCCATCAGCATGCAGACATGCTTTGGTTTAAGTTCCCAGATTAAATCAATTTTCCCTGAATGCCATGGTCTTTCTCTGCTCATCCTTGTAACTGTTTCGTGTCTGTTTTACTCTTTATAGTAAAATCCTTAGAAAAGTTGTTGATATCCACTGTTTTCACTTCACCTCCCATTCTCTCTTGAACCACTCCAGTCAAGACTTGTCCACACCACCCCACTGAAACTTCTCTCATTAAGGTCAAATAATTCCCTGATGTATCATTCTCCTTGGAACAAGTTCATATTTTTAAAACAAGCAATATAACAAAACTGTATATAGGCATTCAATGACTGTTGAATGAATGAATGTTCTTTGGTCATACTGAATAGAAAACATATTTTTATGCCATTGCACTATTGAGTTTGGAGGCATTGAAATGAAATGTGTATACTTGCAAGAGGCCATATATAATAAGCATGCAGGATATAAAGAATAAAAACCCAAGTACCTATCAGCCAGCTTAAGAAATAACTGTTAACAATACCTTTAAATTCCCTTGTGTCCCTCCTGTCCCTCCTTGGTGCATCTCCTTTCTTCCCCTAGAAATAACCACTATTTTGAATTTTCTGTATATTATTTCCTTGCCTTGCATTGTAATTTTCATCACATATTGATGTGCCCCAATATAGCATTAGGTTTTACACGTTTTTATCTAAATGCAGCATATATATTCTTCAGAGATGTGTTTTGTCACTAAATAGTAAATTTATGAAATTCACCTGTGAGATTGCATGAAGCAGTAGTTCACTTAGTTTCATTGGTGTATGGTATTACAGTATATGGATATAATATATTTTCTTTCTAAAATGAACATGTTAAATATAAAAATTAGGTAAAGTGTTACATACATACAGAAAAGTGCACAGATCCCTAGCAAACAGCTCACTGAGCTATCACAAAGTGAATGTCACAAACCAGTTCAAGAAAGAATATGATCGACACCAGAAACCACCCTGGAGTTTGCCCTCCCTAAAGGTAACCACTATCCTCATTTCTAATCCAGAAATTAGAAATGTTTTTGAACTTGTTATAAATGAAACTATACAGAATGTATCCTTTTGAATTGGACTTCTTTCCCGTGACATTGTATGTGTAAGATTCATTCCTGTTACACATACCTATAATTTATTTTCATTGTTGTATTCTCTGATATGTCACAATCTATCTGTTTTATGGTTGATGAACATTTGAATTGTTTCCATTTGTTGACTGTTACGCTGCTATGAACGTCATATATATACATGTGTGTATTTCACTTGGGTATATATCTAGGAGTGGAGTTATTCAGTCATAGGGTGGATATACCACATCTTAATTATCCATTCTCCTTTTGATGGATGATTGTGCTGTGCTGCTGTAAACATTTCTGTACATATGTCCTGAAAACTGGCTATAACAGGCATTCAGTAGCGTAGATCCATATGAATGAAATTGCTGAGTCAGAGCATTTGTGTATCTTCAATTTTACCCGGTAATGTAAAATTGTTTTCCAGCATAGTTTAACCTGTTTACATGCTAACCAACAGAGTATGCATTTCTTGCTCACATTCTTGCCAACAGTTACTATTATCTGACTTTAAATTTTGGCCAGTCTGGAAAGTGTGTCATGGTTTGTTGTTTTAATTTGCACGTCCCTGATTATTAAAGAGTTTAAACATTTTTGTTTTTGAGCCCTTTTGATTTTTAAAATTTAATTTTTTCTGCTTATTCTTTAGTGTGGAGATGTACTTTCCTCAGAATGACTCTTGGATTGGTTTGGCACCCCTAAACATTCCTCGCTATGAATTTGGAATATGTGTTTTAGACCAAAAAGTGTATGTTATAGGTGGTATTGAAACTAATGTGCGTCCTGGCATCACTATCAGAAAACATGAAAATTCAGTAGAATGCTGGAATCCTGATACAAATACCTGGACTTCTCTCGAGAGAATGAATGAGAGCCGAAGTACCCTTGGAGTAGTAGTACTTGCAGGAGAACTTTATGCATTAGGTGGTTATGATGGACAATCTTACTTACAATCTGTAGAGAAGTATATTCCTAAATTAAGAAAATGGCAACATGTGGCACCAATGACTACAACAAGAAGTTGTTTTGCTGCAGCTGTGTTGGATGGAATGATATATGCCATTGGTGGGTATGGTCCTGCCCACATGAACAGGTATTTAACCTAATGAAGTTGTATATGCTTGTAGATTTTTTTTTAAGTATCGTTAATAATGATTCATACACAACTTGTATATATGAATGAACTTCCTTTTTTAATTTTCAAAGTAATATTGTTAGGCATTTGGGAAATTTAATCTGCTCCACTAGTATAATTGTAATTGTTTTACATGATGATTTAATATAGACCTAAGAAATCCCTTTTATAAGAATTTACATTCATTCATTTAATATAATTTGGCTAGATTTTAAAATTCAGAAATCTGAAAATAAGATGAAGTTGGACAACTTTAGATTTTGAGTGATGAATATATATAAATATGCATGTGTGTGTATAAATGGTCTGTTATTGCATTGCTTAACAGAATAAAAAGTGAAAAATGTAATTTCTATATGCTTATATATTATAGTGCATCATAAACATATATAAAGCCTTATTTAAATATTCCTTTTTGGATTCTTACTCTATAATCATGTGTGTATCATTATGTACCTGAGTTCTGCTGGAGTCCGAATTTGCAATTTCTGTATTTTGTAGTATTCTCTGAATAAAGGAGAAAAATATACAAGAAAAATAAAAGCATAAAGTGACTGCTTATATGGAAAATTAATCATAATTCTGAACTGTTGTTGAAAATTGATGTTCTAGAGATTTTATCTCTGATAGTAACTAGAGTGGTGTATGTTTTATTGAGTGTGAGCATTTGATGAAAGAGTATGTTGTGGTTTGTTAACTGCGTAAGTAGGGGCACAACAGCATTTCATCTATAAATTTTTATTTCTTTGTAAGCTAAAGTATTCTTCCATTTTATTTGCGCCTTTATTTGAAGGAAAAGTCTTTGGGGCACAGACATGCATTTTAATCTTTGAAAATGTGCTGGCAGAAATTTATAAGATAAATGGTTGAGTATTCTATTGGGAGGTAATGATCTTCAAGTTTAAGTTGTTAAGTTTATCAACTCTTCTTGTCCAGTAATTGTGCTCTAATGGCTTTTATTCTGGTGTTCTTTCAGAAATATTTATAGTTTAGTCTATATTCTAGTCAGTCTACAGTCTGGTCTCTGTTCTGAACTCCAGAATTAGGCTACCGACTCTCAAATGCTTCAGGCTTTCTTGAGAAGTTAGGTTAGGACCAGAAGGAGCTCAACAAGCCTGCCTTTGTGCCCTTCAGGGCAAATCACAGATTTAGAGGCCTTCTGGGATTTTCTAGGAAGCTTGTTTTGGACATTCTGATTTGTTTTGGATATCCATAATGCAGCTTGGAAATGCCAAGTGTTATCTGGAATGCAGACTTTACTTAAATCCCTGAATTCTCCTAAATCACTCTGAGGTTACTGCAATGTTTACTTTACAGTAAACCATGAATTCTATAAGACAAAAAATTCCTCTCCTTTCCTTTTTTTTTCATCTTCCCTTTTCCTTAGCTCTTTGAAAGATCCTTAGTGTCCTTAGAAAACATCTATAATTTGGGATGTTCAGAGTCTTTTCAGAACATACATACGCATTTGACTTTATTCTTACATGAATCCTTTGAGGTTAGATTATCCCCATTTTTGCAGGTGAGAGGAAATGGCTTATCCAGGATTACACATACCCAGAGTGTTAGAGCTTCAGTTCATTTAACCCTAAGTAGACAGCATTAGTACTTGAACCAAGGTTTTCTAACTCCAGAAGCTCCATGTCCTTAATACATCTTGCTGCTTGTATGATATAAGGGAATAACGTACTGTTATTTTTGCTCTCAGTTCACAAGGTAAGCTTTTATCCCTGCAATTTTATCAGCAAAAAGTAAACATTTAGGAAAACTATTCTTGTTTTATTTGACTTTTTGCACTTTTAAAACTATGGTAGGTTTTAATTTTGTTTTGGTAGGAAGAGTGGCACAAAGAATATGTGAATTAATTCTTTCTTTTGTGAATATTTGCAGTGTGGAGCGTTATGATCCAAGTAAGGACTCCTGGGAGATGGTTGCATCTATGGCAGATAAAAGGATTCACTTTGGTGTGGGTGTCATGCTAGGCTTTATTTTTGTGGTGGGTGGACATAATGGTGTCTCACATTTGTCAAGCATTGAAAGATATGACCCTCATCAAAATCAATGGACTGTGTGTAGACCAATGAAAGAACCCAGAACAGGTAATAATAACTAATATCTAAACATATAGGGTAATATTTCTTATAGAAGTGATGTTCTTAGAATAATAATAGGTCCTTGGAATAGTAAGAGTATTACTTGTCCAGCCAAAAAAAAACTTCTGTGCTCGACTCGAGAGACAAATGATTCAACAAAATTAAATAGATTTCTTTAACTGTGATTTTAATATGCCATTGTGCATATTATCATTTCTTATAGTTGGGAGAACACATTTTTAGAAATGGTGGGAATAGAATGTATCTTACAGAAACTCCTCTGTCCATACAACAAATGTCATCTTTTTAAAAATGTTTATTTAATATTTATTTTGAGAGAGAGTGAGCACAAGCGAGTGGGGCAGGGGCAGAGAGAGAAAGAGAGACAGAATCCCAAGTAGGCCTCTCACTGTCAGCGCAGAGCCTCATGGAGGGCTCAATCTCATCAACTGTGAGATCATGTCCTGAGCCAAAATCAAGAATCAGACGCTTAACCAACTAGCCATCCAGGCCCCACAAGTGTCATCTTTTTATGTTACACACACACACCCAGAATCTTTGCATTGTTTTGTTTTTGTTTTTTTTAATTGTACATCAGTCTATATGTTTGCTTTCAAATGTTTTCACCTACTGAAGGAGTTTGAAGATCTAGAAAAGGTTGGATTTCAGTTCCCAGAGAAAACAGAAACAGCTTTGAGGAAAAGAAGGAAATTATCTTTGAACCCAAACTCAAATCATATTATTTTAAGGAGAAAGTTTTAAGTTGCTGATGGAAATGCTTCCTTGCATAAGAGGGAAAGCCATAAAGTAATGAGAATGTGAGAAAACATTAGGTAGCCATTTTCTGTTTAGAACTGTATAAAACAGTGTATACGGTAGAATTTTTAAAGTCTAAGTTATATAGTTCAATACGTGTTTCAAGTATTTGAAGACATTTAAAAACCTGATAAAGATGAATGCTTTGTTGAAAAATATATACATATAAATTGACAAAGCATATGGGAAGACATATAATATACTCTTCATATTTTTCTGTGGTAGAGGAGAGGGAGAATAGGATTAGGGAGGAGAAGTGAAGGAAGACTTGAACTCTTGCTTTCATGTTAAGGATTTTTTTCCAGTAAGTACATATGGCTATATTGTTTGTATAATTAATAATAGATTATTAGAATGTATTTTAAGAAAACATTAAAATACAAATTTATTTTTAGTGAGAAGTCTGCTTCATGGTTAACATGTTTTTTTCCCTCTTTTTACTCACCTTTCCTAGGAGTTGGTGCTGCAGTAATTGATAACTACCTTTATGTAGTCGGCGGTCACTCAGGGTCTTCCTATCTGAATACTGTGCAAAAATATGACCCTATTTCAGATACGTGGCTGGATTCAGCTGGCATGATATACTGTCGCTGCAACTTTGGATTAACTGCACTTTGACAAGTGTGGATTTGTGGAAATAGTGTGGTAATGAACCTTGTGCCGCATGAAAGGATGCCCAATTTTCTGAAATCCAAAAGCTACATTACTTTCTTATTAACTTGAAATGGCATGAAGACTCAAAGTTCTCTTGGGTACTCTGAACTGATAAAGTAGCTTTGGTTGCTCTTGATTACATAGTGAATCAATAATTTAAAAAAAAAAAAAAACTTGCCAATTTAATTGTGCACTTTTTCCCTCCTAATACTGGGATAGAGTCGTTTTATGTTCATAAGTGTACATGTGGAGAAAATCTTGCTGCTTAAAAAAAAAAAAAATTTAGCTCTCCCTCTTACTTAATATATGCACCATGATTTCCTAGGATGAGAGATGCTTCAGTGTTGGAGTGTATTGAATGACTAGACAGAGCACTGATACTGTCTGTTGGATATTAATTCATATGCTTCACATTTTAAATAAAGGGCTGCTTTTTTGAGGGGGGTACTGTTAAGGGTTGTAAATTATATACCATAGTGAGTCATCTGGATACTCTTCCTACTAAATGGCTTTAGGAATGGGGATATAAGAAGTTTGTAGAACAAATGCTTTTACTATCATGATATTTGGGGGCTCATTTTAAGAAGGCAGATATTTGCTCTTTATGCCTTCTTTCTATGGGCAGGTTAAGGCTGGATGAATTTAGCTACCCACCTGTGCTATACTAAGCATGGATAGAAAGAGTTAAGCATATCAGTTTCAGTTTTTTTGTTATTTCCGTAGTACAGCAGGCTTCCCAGTGTTGATGTAAATATTTGACAAATGTTCAGTACATTCTAAGTACATACTGATTTTTTTTCATATATCCTTATAATCATTTTAGTTTTTTAAGACCTTTGGTTGCTTTTTCAAAGTGTTCAGATATAAAAATGGTGCTAACTGTAGGATATATAACAAGGCTATAATGTTCTTTTGAATGTTCAGTATGAGATATGCATGATAGTATGTTTTGATAGTATTTTTTCTTTCTTTTTTTTTTTTTTTTTACTGGCTTGGTTCATTTATGCTTATTAAAAGTGTTAGCAGTTATGCTAATGTTAACATCCAAGAGTCATCTAAATGGCCTGTTATACTTTTCATGGTTCCTGAATAGTGATTTAAAGAAAGATGCATTTTTTAATCTTCTTTCTCCTTGTGCTAGATATTATATGTCCTTCTTAAAAACAAATATATGCATTAAATATGAAGCACTAGGCAGTTATGCATTACTTTGTACACTTCTTAGGTAATTGAATATTTTACAAAGTTACTGAGGAAAACTGGAACTCGATGTTTACTTGAGTAATGGTTCTAAATTTGGTTCTACTTTGACTAAAGAAACAAGCAAGACTATTTGCTATAGCCAGTGATAGTTTATTTAAAATTAGTGGTTAGCTCATTTTTAGCATGTTTTAGTAAATACCTGTCAGTCTTGAACCTATTACTTTGCATTTTATTAGGATGTCGGTACTTGTATTTTTGGTACTGTAGTTGTGTTGTTTTCTTTTCCTTCATTTTTTTTTTTTTTAACCTGCCTGCTATCTCTTTATAGTCTCTGCAAAACCGTGTACATTTGTTTTCTAAGAAAAAATTCATACTGCATTCTTAAGTGCCATAATATTCCAAACTATTGTTAAGAAGCCATTTGTAATTATAAAACATAGGTTCATTCATTAGCAAATATGTTATTGTTTGGAAACTATTGCCTGGCAATTTGCAGTTTTTCTTGTTCTTCCATAAACTGCCAGTGTAGATTTAAATACATAGTGCAAAACTACATAAAATCACCTTTAATCATGTAAGTAGTATGCTTTATGAATATTTGCACAGATTATAAAACCTTGCAAGTGATTTTTTAGTCTCTTACAATTAAGAACTCAACAGAAGTTACTAATAAAATTGACAGGCTGAGTATTTTCTATGTTGCTTGTTTGAATAACAATGATATATAGCAATAACTTTTTAATTGATTTGAATAAATCTATTGAATAGAAACAAGGTGCACTATTGTGATTGGCCTAGACTTTATTTAAGGAAAAGCAATTTAAAATAGATTTCATTACTTACTTAATTTTAAATTCTCAACTCAATCTTTTTTCTGTTTATATTATTAAATGCATTCTATTATACTATTTTAATCTTCTATCCCCAGAAGATAAGGGAATTTGAAAGACAATAGAAATTTATTTTAATTGTAAACAGGTCTGTACTATACATGTTAACAATGTTTTACTCATGTGTAATCCCCACTATCAAATTGTTATTAAACATAGAATCACTTGGTAAATTAGACCAAAGGCATATATTGATCATTGTTTTGGAAAACTCAAAACTTTATCTTGCTAAAGACTAAATGTGAAACATCTTGGGCAATAGTAGAAACTGTATACCAGAGAAAAAATTATAAAAACCTGTAAAAAGAAAGAAAACAACCCCAAACTTTTGAAATAACTAATTTTGGGTTTACCAAACCTACGGTACTATCCATAACAACCAGAGGTATTGTAACCTGACAACTGATAACTTTACAGTAGACCTTCTCGTATGGATTTCTGAGAAGTTTCATCATGAATACTTTGCTGACAGATTGTGAATTTAAAGTCACATGTTTTTCATGTCAAAACTCATCAAAGTGTTTGCTTATAAATGATATTAGACATAATTTTATATACTCAGGCAATGGGAAGAAAGCTGTTTAAGATTGCCCAGAAATATTTTGGAAAAAAAAAAGGTGACAATGGAAATAGAAATTATCTCATCACCTGGAAGATAATTGCCTTCCATAATTATGACGACTTAATCTTGTAGGAATGTTTGGGTATTTAATCTTTGTTAAATATAGTAATAGAACTTAAGTGATTTTTAATGTAGCCCAAAGGATGTTTCCATAGGTTATTGCTAATGTTTTAAATATGAATGAATATCAAACTATAGAAAGTGATATCAAATGGTAGGAAAATGGCATTAGGTTTTGAAAAATTATTTTGCTAGCTTGACAAATGATGGAGGGTCTACTATATGCACGTGGTATTGTGCCAGATTCTGTCAGGGCTAGAAATATTATAAATAATAGATACAGTCTTTTCACTCAACGAGTGAAGTATGGTGAGGGAGACCTGTACCCAAATAACTATTATGGTAAAGTATGAATCTAATTCCTTATAACCAATATCACTAGAAGTGATTAGACACCCAGTTTATGTATAAACATTTGTGTCCTTTAGTGTCCAATTAGGTTTTATTGACATGTAAAGAATTATAGAAGACCTAATGTTTATAGAACTCTAAACTTCCTGGAATTGGATAATATATTTTCTATTAGAAAAACAAAATTGTAGAAACTGCAAAAAAATTATTTACTATATTACAAGGCTCTGGCTAACATTGAAGAAGTATATGTACCTATAATGCTGTGTTTGTTTTCAGTTTTGGTGTTGGATTTCTGGTATTGTCACCTAAGTGCTCATTTTCAGGAAAATCAGATTCTACAATAAATATACTGCTTAAAAGTTCAATAAACTTGTGATAACCTCTATAACCTCTGTAGTCTGAAAATAAAGAAATTAGAAGATGTCACATGTCAAGTTAACATCCAGTTCTACTTCTTAATCTTTTTTTTTTTTTCTTTCCTTTGTAAAACAGCACTTTAATTAGACCTGGTTTAATTAGATACATTTATTCTGTGGCTGGATACATATTGGATTTTCACTTACAGTATATTAATTCAGTGTTGATACACATTTGAAAAGAGTAAAAAATACATTGTTTCAAATACTATAGGTTTACAAGTTTACTTACTGGTGTGAATATGGAGTCAATAAAAATCCAGTTTACATCTCTGTAGAGAGAAAAATTGTTATCCATATGTCTTTTATATTATACATATTTAACTAGAGATAATTTATTATTAATTTTGTCAACTTATCATGTGTAAGTCCCGTTTATTTTAAAATAATAAGCAAAAAGTTCCAAGTTTGCCTTAAAATACAAGTGAAATTAAAGAACTGGATGATAATGCCTCTATTTTTGCCTTATGAATTGTGCTGTATCATAAACCAGAGATGGTTTTGATTTTAACAGGATTCTGAAATTTTGTAGATGTAGAGTACTAATATTTGTACTCTCTTGCAAAGAATGTGATGTAGTTGTGGATTATGTTAATGTTTAAATGTTTTTGTAAATGTATCTTACCTCTGAATATGTATCTTTTTAGCATCAGGGTTTTATTTTTGTTTACATGGTAAAGTGGCATTTAACTTGTTGAAAGCTGTATTCTTTTGTCTTTTATTTTAAAAGTTCTTTGTGTGTACTGTTGTGGTGATGCTCTGTAATGACTATGGTTAAATTTCATTTAATGTGAAATGTTTAAAATAAATTTGAGAAACATGACTTCATATGCGTCAAATGTTTTGAACTGACCCAAGCTGACTTTGTCGTTCTCAACTTTCAGATGCTTGTTGGTAGGCAGGTAGTGGCCACAAAAGTTGAGGTGGGTATGGGATAGCTAATCTTTTACATTCTTATTACAAGATTATAATGGAAACGTGTGTCGTGCTAAATTCTGCCACATGTTCGGACACTTATTAAAGAAACATTCTTTAGTAAAGCCAGCACAAGAGTTCAGTCTGTAAGTTCCATGCAGTCCCAGCTTTCTCTCCTTTTAGATTCCTTAACTTGCCTTGTAAGGGGTTTACTTGAGGCAGACAAGGCAACATTGCAGAGGATTCTGTTACGTTTATGGCCAGCATCAGGTAACCAGCAGTCCTCCTACGGGGAAGGCTCTGTAAACAAGGGATTAAGCCCCAGGTGCCATCTTTAAGGAATTTGTAAACTATAGGGCTGAATGGATTCAGATAACCTGTCCATGCAAGGATTGGAAATATCTCATATATTTAGGCAATCCATATATCTTGAAACTGTTAACTTCACCAATAGGAACAACTTTTTGATTTCATGTTATTCTGTGAACCACTATTCCCCAACAATGTCCCTGACATTTAATACACTAATGAGCAAAACATTGGATGTTGGTCAAATTATGAATAACCGAAGTGTTTGTAGCTGCCTTGAATATAGGTTTCCTGGTTAAAATATCAGCTAACCATCCGTGAACTGCATTCTTAACAGGGCAACTCCTAGAGTTTAAGTATATACATATA